AGATAGCAGGAAGGGAAGAATGAAGGGGGGGAATCAGAGGGGGAGACGAACCATAAGAGACGATGGACTCTGAAAAACAAACTGAGGGTTCTAGAGGGGAGGGGGGTGGGGGGATGGGTTAGCCTGGTGATGGGTATTAAAGAGGGCACGTTCTGCGTGGAGCACTGGGTGTTATGCACAAACAATGAAACATGGAACACTACATCCAAAACTAATGATGTAATATATGGTGATTAACATAACAATAAAAAATAAAGAGTATTGTCATCAAAATAATTTTCCAACGTAAAATCAATTGGATTACATAGTTAATAAAAAGCACAAGATTATGAGGACTTTTAAAATTCGTTAAGCAAATTGTGTTATTTTCTAACCATTTGTGACTGGACTTAGAGACAAAATAACCTGTTATTTAAAATATTAGTTATATTGAATTCACATAACTTAATTTTATAAAGATGTACATGACCATTTATAAGTTCATCTCTTAGAGAGCACAAGGGTAAATGCCTTACTTATACAACACAATATCATGTTATTTTAAAGCTAGAATAAGCCCTAAATCATGCACATTTTACAAAAGAAATGGGCATACAGTGGTTAAAGTCTCTATTCAACTTAACATTAATTGAATGCAAATCGAGTGTGAGAACCCAGGTCTCTGGTGTCTTCCCACTTAATTGTTTTCACACTTATATCATAATGCCCCATTTCTAAGCAGTACCCATTTAAAAAGTAGTTAATAAATGAATGTTTTTAGTGGTTTTGTTCCTAACGGCCAGAATACGAAGACAACCCAAATGTACTTCAACTGGTACATGGATAAAAACTGGGGTACATCCATGTAATAGAATACTATTTATCAATAAAAAGGGAGCAAACTATTGCTATATACAACACATTGCATTTTGCTAAAAGAAAGAAGTCAAATTCAAAAGCCACATACCATATGATTCCATTTTTATGTCATACAGAAAAGACATCAGAGTCGAGGAGTGGGAGGAGGGGAGCAGCATGAGGGAACTTTTGAGATGATGGGGCTGTTTTGTATTTTGATTGTGGTGACAGTTCCATGCCTGTATACATTTGTCGACCTATAGAACTGCGCATTTAAAACGGATGAATTTTTTTTTTAAAGATTTTATTTATTTATTTGAGAGAGAGAGAGAATGAGAGATAGAAAGCACGAGAGGGAAGAGGGTCAGAGGGAGAAGCAGACTCCCTGCCGAGCAGGAAGCCCGATGCGGGACTCGATCCCGGGACTCCAGGATCATGACCTGAGCCGAAGGCAGTCGCTTAACCAACTGAGCCACCCAGGCGCCCAAAACGGATGAATTTACCTAAGAGAGTGAATTACACCTCAATAACACTGACTTCTTTAAAAAAGTAGTTATTATTGTGGATGTAAGAGAAAGACTAAAAGATGTAAGGACTCCTGACTTGATGTTTCAAAAAGAAAAAAGATATAGATACCTAATACAGTTAATTGAAAATGAATTTTAAATGCTGAGCAAAATTAAATAAAAGACAAAAAGGAAGTTTGGGATTTTTAGCAAGTCTCCACTAAGAAAATCTTGTTTTATGTATTTTTCATTAAACTACTGCTGTTAACAATGACAAAAGTAATCCCAGAATATTCAAGCAAGTTAACATTTATATCAATCACACTCAGAAAGAGAAAACTAGTGTGAATTACTTAGGAAGATGTTCTTTTGATTGGAATAAAGACTGTCAAATGGAGACAAGGTAAATGAAATGTAGTAAGTGACTTTGTTTCTGACCTGGTGTTCAGTAAGTGCTCAGATATTTGAATCCATGAATGAATTAATGAGTAAATAAAGATCAAGATCGTTAAATTCTGTGGGAGAGGCAAAACCCAGGCACAGAAAAAACAGGAAGGAATACTGAAAAGACTTTAGTGCAAGAGCAGTAATATTAGCTAACATTTCAAAGTTCTGAGGCAAATCACATTCAAAAATAGAGCCAAAGCAGGGGCGCCTGGGTAGCTGGGGGTCTCAGTCAGTTTAGCATCTGGCTCTTGATTACAGCACAGGTCATGATCCCAGGGTTGTGAGAGTGAGCCCTGAGTTGGGCTCTGTGCTGTGTGTGGAGCCTGCTTAAGATCCTTTCTCTCCCTCTGCCCCTCCCCCACAAAAAAGAAAAAAAAAAAGAGTCAAAGCTAAGTCTAAAACTTTTAATGTGTACAAATAGCCTAAATGTCCATCAGTGCTTGAGCCGATAAAGAAGTCATGGTATATATATATATATATATATATATATATATATATATACACTGGAATATTATTTGAGAAAAAAGGAAATCCTGCCATTTGCCACAACCTGGATGGAGTGTGAGGACATGATGCTAAGTGAAATAAGCCAGAGAATGATAGATACTGCATGGTATCATGTATACATACAATCTTTGGACAAAAAAGAAAGAGAGCAGCAAACTCACAGTAACGGAGAGTAAAAAAGTGGTTGCGGGGCTAAGGGACAGGGAGAATGGGGAGAGGTTGGTAAAAGCGTACAAACTTTCAGCTGTAAGATGAGTAAGGTCTGAGGAACTAATGGACAGCATTGTGACTACAGTTGATAACAGTGTTGTATGACTGAGGTTTGGTGAGATGGTGCAACTAGGATGGTCTCAACAAAAGAAAACAAAATGAAAAACCCAGAAAAGTATAGATATGTGCGATGAGTGATGTGTTAAATGTATAGGGGAAATCCTTTCACACTATATACGTGTGTCAGGTCATCATGATGCATACGTTATAGGTCTTGTAATTTGTTTTTCTGCTATACCTCAGTAAACCTAAAATTATAAAAAATACTGGATATGTAAGCTTTTAATATTGAAACAAGATCCATTTGCAGGATCTTGTTATGAGAAAAATCGTTTCCTATCTAGGGTTTGAAGAATAAAATTCTGGTTAGGTTAGGCAGGGCCTGGTAACTGGGTAACTTAGGAATATAGACACACATATACACACACATCCTACATACTTTAGTACAAAATGAAATCATTTTACAGCCTAATATTCTATATCTCTTTCTAAGGAATAGCATACAACCCCAACCTTTAGGCCTACACAGACAAATTTAAGATTTATTTGATGGTAGTGGACCTAATCCTAATAGAAATAAATAACTTTTACATAACTCAGTTTCATAAAACCAAACCTAAGAGCAATTATGCACCAACATCTGGTATAATGACTGGTATATTTTCTTGTCCTCAAAAGCCTACCAATCCTCATAGCTGAACCCACTTAAACATCACTAGATTCTGGGACCAATATGATTCCAAGGCAGCAGAAATTTATAAATTACAGATGTTTCCTGGCTTGCTTATCCCTAACAACTATGACAAAGGAGCACAATTCCAAGAACTGAGCCATGTTCAATTCTGTGTGTGTGTAGACCATACCACCAAGTAACTCTATGCCATAGCTATGGTTACCTGGCTTTGCTTCTGGCAGTGGGTTCATGGATCATTTTCTTAACTTCTATTTCTCTGGAAAGAGGGGTTTGTTTCCTACCCTAATTTTCTGGAAAGTAGAAGTCTTTCTGCCTCAGATTCTATTACTGGATCTTTTGCTTGCTGCTCATCCTTTGCTTGCTGCTAAATTTACTTGGAGCCTGTCTACCTAGAATTTTGTGTACTTCATGCAGTGGGGCCAACAGTTATCTCTGTGTTAACCTGCCAGGCACCTTAATTAAATTCCCTAATATTGTCTGCTACTGATATCAGGGTCACAGGTCTTCAACAGGGATGTGTGGAAACAAAAACTGAAACAAAAGGTAGGAAAAAAGTTGGGAAAAGAGAAGTTATGGATTGAAAAAAGAGAGGGAACTGACATAAATACAGGAAAGAATAAGAATAATCAAGATGTGCTGAAAAGTTAATCTCATTAGAAGTTTGAATTTATTTTTATTTTCTAGTTCCCTAATCCTGCTTTCTTGTATATTTGCTATATTACACCACATGAATAAGTTTTTAATTCCAGATATGTCATTTTTCACCTCTAAAATGAACATCAGAATCTTTTAAAATATATTTTTAGATTCTTTTCAATAGATTAAATTTTCCACTGAAATTTTTTATCTATTCATTTCTGTTGTCCACCACTTACTTGATTCTCCTGAATTAAAAAACACTGTTATTTTAAAATCTCTTTCTGATAAAACCAAAATCTGATGAACTGTGGACTCTATTACCTAATTTTCCTTTTGGTACTGTTTCTCAGCATCCCTTATATTTTTAAATGGATTCTAGAAAGTGACTGGTGAAGAAATTATAGAAGCTTTGGATGATATCTTCCCCCAGACAGAAATTAGGTTAAGTTTTCTTTTGGAATACAAATTGAGTAAAAGCAGATACCTCATTCCCTTTATGTCTTGGGTTAGGCAAGTTTATTTCATATCTGCCCTTATTCCTAGGGTATGGTCTTTACTACTAGGGGGTGTACTTCTGGAGGTCACAACAAGCCCAAGCAGGGTATTTACCAAGATTTTTCTCCCTTGACAAGGCACAACTCTGATATATGTCCTCAGCACCACAATAATGCTAAAATCTCTGCCTTGTTCTTTCTCGTCCAACTACAAATTTCTGCTGGGCTTTTTGGAGTCGCATCCTGGGCATGTACATTTTAAGAAATGGTCAATGAGACTGTCAGCGGGGCAAGATGGCAGAGGAGTAGGAGACCTGGATTTCGTCTGGTCTCAGGAATTCAGCTGAATAGGGAT